ACTATGCATTTATCTAATTTCGATGATTACCAAAGCTACAAATTAGTGGCTTTTTATTGTGGTTGTACATGTGTTTACTTTTCAACATTACTAAGCGCATTGTATTTTACTAATTACTTGTATTCTATTGGAAAGTATTCCTTTTATCCAGTTATAGGTGTTATAATTGTTGCTGAATATATTAAATTCTTAGTAGGTACCTTCCATTTTCCTAAAACACAAACTGGAAGATATGATGGATTCACCTCTACCAAACGAAATAACTTGTGGACCAGAATTAGAGAAATACTGAAGTCTTCATTTATTATTGTACTAATGTGGTTTGTGTACTTTTTTATTGCTATATTGTTTGGTGCAGAAGTCTTCAGTAAGCATGAAGAGACTTTTATGTTAAGTGCTGTGTTATGTGCCTTAACAGTATTTCCAGTTTGCCTGAACTTGGGTTCAAACTCTGTTATTAGTTTATTATTTGGTATCAAAATGACTGGAGATATACTTCGTGAATCACTATTCTGTAGTTATCGATATACTCTCCTGGGAACCTGGTTGGGAGCTTTTGTTATTCCTCTTGATTGGGATCGTCCATGGCAAGTATGGCCTATACCTTGTGCTTCTGGTGCTATGTTAGGTTTCATTGTAGGAAATGTGGTTATGCTACTTAGTTTGTTGCCAAAGATTATCAAGAGTTGTTATTGTAAATCAGGGAAAAAAAATTAAAATGTATTGTAGTTCTGAGTGTGCAATAGTGATTGTGTGTTTAGTGTATTGAAGGAATAAAAATTAAGAATTCTTGCACAAACAAATATTTTTATTTAGCCACTGCCTTGAATGCACATTTTTATTCATATCAAGTCAGTTTATGTTTCATTTCACTGGAAATTACAAGACCTTCTATTTTGAAATGAGTATTTCTTATGGAAGGTATAAGTTAATAGTATAATGATGGTTGTAAGTTTCAGAATTTAAATTTGCAATTTATGTTACCTGAAAGTGGAGAGCTGGAGGGCAATTTGCCATGTTGCTTGTGGCTGACAGTGAGATATTTTTTTCCCACAGGTTCCTTAACATTTGTCAAGGTTAACCCCCCACCCCCCTTTATAGGTGGCCCGTCTTGTAACGCGACCAAACCAAACCTTATTAATGAAAATGTTCACTCAAAGAAATCTATAAAATTTTTTCCTTGGAAATAAAATTGGAAACAGCTGAAAATTTAGCTCTAAATGTAGTGTGTTACAATTAGAAAAAAAGTTTTTTTTTCAATATTGCATCATTAAAATGAGTGTTTAAGATTTTGCTCAAGGCACTTGCTGTTTCATCTCAATATCTATTTGAAAAACCAATACTACTGCATTATGTATATGTGTGTGTATGTTTTGTTTGTATGCATTTTCTGTTGGTAACAAGTTACGTTACAGAAAATTTTGCAGCAATTACAAATGTAAACTTACATTGTAACTGAAAATACTTTCTTTGTACATATTGATGAAAACAATTTTTAATATGAAATTATTATAGGCAATAAAAATTATTGTAAATGTATAGGAACGGGAACTCTACACAATGCAAGCCAAACACATTTCATCTGAGTAACCTTTTGCTTGTTAATAAAAAACTATTTTATTAAAATTTCTTAATATAATGACAAGTAGTTAGAGAAGTAATGTCTTTAAAAGTATGTAATTCTGTAATTTATATTGCACCAATTCAGAAAAATCCTAGTAAAAGCAAGAAGTTACTTAAATGATATAGTGATGTATTAAATGTGTTCATTTTATTCGTGTGATATTTAATCTGCAGTGATGGATAATAATTCTTATCCATTTCTGTTATGTTAATTATTTAAAAAAGGACTGTTATAAAACTTCTTCAGGTAGAATACATAATTTTCATTTGAAAACATTCGAAGCTTTGGTGTCTAATAATGCATTCAACCATGTATAAACTCTGTGAATTAAGAAAACATGAGATTTTGTTTTAATTATTTTATATGAAGGTAACATTTATGATGTGTATTTAGTGTGCTCGATCTGTAAAAAAAGGTTAAACAAAATTGTGGAGCAGTTTTTGAGAATATCTTCTATATGTATTTTTTGAAAATGATCACAATTCAGTACAAAATTATGCAAATAAAATTCAAAAAGTTTTATTCGAAATGAGTTAAAGGGCTACTGTTGAGAAAAGAATAATGCAGGAAAAAGGATCTTGGTCCAAACATGAAAGTTTAGGGCTGATGAGAACTAATGGTGCAACGATATAGTAAACACAGACATTCTCACACTATTTGTAACAATTGTGTGAAATAATTATTTTATTTAAAACGCTAAAGGATTTTCTTTAGTAGGAAATTTGAGCTACTTAATTTCATAATTTTTGTTTTATATAAATAAGCATCTTTTGATTATAACATGCATTACTTACAGACCAAAGGCAACTAAGTTGACATTGCAGGAAACAATGCATGACAAGAAGAGGCTTCAGTACCCCAAATATTTAAATATCCATTTTGATTTCACAGGGCCGTGCCATCAGTCATATCGATTGACAAATTTCCATTCTGCTGAAAATCGTGGTCATGGTTGAAGCACTGATCACAAACACTGCAAAAGAAACCGTTTCTCCTTCCCTCTCTCTCTCTGTGTCCTCCTCCCTCTCTTTCTCTCTGTACTATTTTGAGATAGAGATTTTTTTCTTTAATTAAATCTTCTTTAAACATATCTTGAAATAAGGCCATGTATACAGGCAATTTTTATTTTTTTTCAACATTTCTTTAGGCTTCAATTTTTTCTTTAAATTTTATTTCTGGAATTTACCAGAGGATGGTAGAAAAAGTGGTGTTAGTCTCATTTTTTTATATTTCAAAATAAAATTCTCAAAAGCCATTCCAAATTTTCTCCTCGTATGCATAAAAATTTGCTGCCAGTCTCATTATCAGCAAAGTCACCGTATTTTCGAAAATTGCAAAAAGTTTCAAAATTGAATGTATGTGTATGTACACATACATTTATATAAAACACACACACATACACTTCATAAATTATTTCTTGGCGGGACTCCGAAGGAAGATGGTGGGGGCGTGAGCAGATTCGATTTATTACCTTCTGCAATGAATTTGTTGGGGGGGGGGGGGACAGATGCTCCAGAGCAACGGCGTATATAAATCGTCACTGCACTGCCGGGCTTCGTTTCCGCAACAATGGCTTTGCGTGACTGGTGTGCTGAAGTTTCCTTTTGGAGCGTTGAGTTAACTCCACATCATTCATCGATTGCGCCACCCCTAGAGGGAGTCTTTCGGCACTGGGGCAGTATTTACTCTCTGGGTGCAGCCAAACAATTCGCGTTGGCGCTTAGTTTGTCGTCGTACTCGCACACCGCGAGCCAGCCGCTGTAAACGGTATCGCTGCTATTTTATTATAATATCTCTACAATTATGGTGTTCATTGTCAGTTGCAATATATTTTTAAAATCCTGTAATGTTGTCGACGGGAGTGATTTCGCATTACAAATATGAGATAGTTTTTAAACGTTAACATAAAAAGCCTTTTATATCTTGTTTATTTATCGCATTTAGCTCTAACCGTGCAAATTAAAGTTTATTAGATTAGTGCAAATGGAGAGGAGATAATTATACACAATTTGTTCTCGAAAAACGGGATGGATGGCGGAAGTATCTCACGAATATCTGTCAGAACTGAAACGTGATGAAAAAGTCAGGAGTAAGATTTAGTTGTCCAGTTGCGGAGTGCATGAAGATAATTTGATTTTTGGGTATACAAGCCCCTGTGGTATTTCGAAAATTTTCTAGAAAATGGCTAGTTTTTTCTCGAATAGAAGAAAATGAATGTATTAAAATGGTATAGAACCTATTTTCATTAAAACCTCTGAAAATTTGAAAATTGCAAAAGTTCAAATTTATTTTTGAACACGCCGTACATTTTCAGAAGTTGAGTCAGATTTCTTTCTCTATTCAAATTATACAGCAATATTGTACATTGTAAAATGATGTCATGAATTTAAAAAAGTGATGGAGTAATAATACTAAGCTCATGAAATGTTTCGGTTTTCCATGTAATCCCACTAGCTAAAAACTGAATGGAAAATGCCTGAACATGGATTTGTCAATATATTCGTCGGACTGTACACAATTATAGGTAACTCAAAATTGAAAACAACTGACTTGGAGGGTTTCTCACTATATTTCCATTTAATTGTTCCGAGTTCATCCAGGTAGACGGCGGAGGTTTTGACAGAAAACACTTTTTCTGCATCAAGACTCCAAAAATGTGCATTTCTGTAAAATTCTCCACTTTTTCGGTAACCACAAAATTGAAGATGGAGATATTTCCTTCAAAAGAAATTTATTGTCCATAGCTCTTTTATTATGATTCATTTTCATGTCATGTTCATTTTCTTGAAACTTGTAGTTTCTGCGCAATATTGCGTGCAATATTTGCTATTTTCAAAATTGGCTTCAAATTATTTTTTAAACATTTGGAAGGGATAAATGCACTCTGAAAGATAATATGAACAGCAAATTGCTCTATACTTTTTTTTCTTCAAAATTACAAAAATGTATTTTTTCGTCAAACGCCTTTTTCTCAAAAATAGCTCCAATTTTTTCTTAATTTTTTCCAACTCAAATTTTTTTGAAAAAAGAGCTTTAAATATCGCATTTACAGTAACACTTAAACGCCATGTTCTTACAAAGGCTCCAAATTTTTCAATGAAAAGTGAGAAACGTCTTTAAAAAATGTACTTTTGACGGCGATAGATTGCAGCTAGCAAGAGTATGTGGCAAGACCGAATAGCTAGCCCAAACGAAAGAAAATAGAAAACTAACATAAGAAAGTCTGTACCATTAAGAATTAGTACCACTGGTTTTATTTTCAATAGTAAACGAGAAAGTAAAAATAGGAAAGGAATTGTTGTTCTCAAATGCATGCGCTTAGGGGGGGTGCCGTGCCCCCTGAAAATTTCGAAGTTTTCCGTAGCCCTACGTAATAAAACATTTTATTTTCTTAAATATAATTAATTCTTTATTTTCTTCTATTTAAGCTGACAATTTGGAGAATTAATATACGCTTGGGGAAGAGGCTATCCAACTATGTGACGAACTGTAAATGGTTCTACCATGGTGGAAATAATCACAATTTCCACCATGGGTTCAATATAAAGACAATTGTATTGATTAATTCTATTATTAAAGTTACAATTTCATTCTCATTGTATGTTTTATTTATTTCCTAATAAAATATGTCATATGTAAATATAAATGTTTAATGAAAACGGGGACCCAAATGTATAATTGCCCCCTCTCGTTTACAGCTGCGGACACCTATGGTTATTCTCATTTTAATTAATGATTTTGTACGATTTACAATTAGTAAACAAATGTCACAAACTGTCTGATAGCGAAGAAAATAATTACTTACGTCCATCAAGAATAAAAAAAACTTATCTTAAAACTGTTTCACAGTTTACTGATCGTAACAGTGTGTGGTGCTGACCTTGATTAGTAGCAAAATAGCAATTTTGTATACGGCCTTGGGGGCCGGCTAATCAAAAGTTAAAATTGTGTCACGTGTCGGCGACTGAAGTTCGAATCAGGCTCGACTGTAGCCGCTCGAGGATTGGAAGTCCACAAGTGCATATCATCCCCTCGCCTTTCGTCTTCGAGCTGGTTTTGTTGAGAATTCTGCCCGGATTCCGTCTTTTAATATGGCTCAAGAAACTGCTGGAACGGTAAAGCATTGGTTTTCAAATTGTGAGAATTATATATTTGATTAAAAACATAAATGCCGCCCTAAGGAGAGCTCTAGTTGAAAAAGTTACAAAAGGCATTCGGCGAAGTTAATTTGTAAAAATACTTTAATAAGTTTGTTTTATTGCATCGAAATTTTTATACCAAAGATAATTGCTTTTATGTTAATCCGTTTATAAATGTGTAGGTTATAAAATGCCGGGCTGCGATCGCATGGGAAGAGAAGAAACCCTTGTCAATAGAAACTGTGGAAGTCAGCCCACCCAAAGCCGGTGAAGTTCGCATAAAAATTGTGGCTACAGCATTGTGCCACACAGATGAATATACCTTGAGTGGAGCAGATCCAGAAGGCACTTTTCCCTGCATATTAGGCCACGAGGGAAGTGGTGTTGTTGAAAGCGTTGGTGAAGGAGTGACTTCTGTGAAACCAGGTACTTTAACAGCCGTTTGGAGTAAAAAAAAACAACAACAAAAAAAAAAAGCTCTTAGTTTTATTGTATATGGAGATCTGTAGTTTATTTCCAGTATAACACACTAATGGGATATATATTCTCTCTCTTCATCAATTTCATCTTGAGTTAAAAATGAAGTCTGAAGGACCGAAAACATACAGGAAAAATACGTTGCTCTTTAAATTGTTTTTTTGTTAACCAGGTGATCGTGTAGTGCCATTGTATATACCTCAGTGCAGAGAATGTAAATTTTGCAAGTCTTCCAAAACCAATCTTTGTAGCAAGATTCGTGCCACTCAGGTAATGTATTAGTAATTGGAGTAAATCCATTACTATTGAATACTAATTATTTTGTTTAATTACACACTTAAAATGTTGTTATGCATTGGATAAACTTATTTGGCTAAAAACTGTTGTTATCTCCACCTTTTTCCTTGTGATTATGTGATTATTCTTGACAGGGCCGGGGAGTCATGCCTGATGGTACAACACGTTTTACATGTAATGGTAAACAGATCTTTCATTTTATGGGCTGCTCTACCTTCAGTGAATATACTGTTGTGGCAGAAATATCTGTCACAAAGGTTAGTATGGTTAATGATTGTTTATTGTGTTCTATAAATTCTATAAAAAGTAATTCAAATGGTAGGGATACTACTGGTTTCGTCCATACTACTCTGTTTTTGTGGGTTTTTTTCCAAAAATTGTTACTCTTAATTTTTACCATAAGGGTAAGAGCTTGGAGGTTGAAAACTTGAGATATTAGGCGTTATTTCTATTTTCTTACAAGAATACTGGAAACCAAACAAATGTACACATTTATTAAAGATACATTTTAATCTGTTAATACTGGGAGAGGTGGCTCAGTGCATCAAGTGATGTCAATGCGGTCTGTCCAGGAGGTCCTAGGTTTGAGTCCCCTCAATGGTGGAATTCTCGACACTTGATAGCTAGATCAAATTCATTCACTGTCTGGAGGAGAATTCTAGTGGCTGGCTGCTCCGATCGGTAGTTTTCCGTGGTTTCTCTGATCAACAGGCGAATGCAGGAGCAGTACCCTAACAAACAGGTTCCAGACCATGTTGCCTTCCTCTTCCTTGTCCTATCCTCACTCCTTACTTGTAAACACTTACACTTCAATACTCTACACTAACACACATGTCAAGAGGCCAGTCGGGAGCCCAGAGCCTTCCAGCTGGAACATTGCCCCACTGGTGGTTTCTGGTTGGAAGGAAATCCTGCTAGCCAATGGTGTCAGATATCACTATCCAATGGGGGAAGATCACTGCTTCCTGAGGAAATCGCTACACTTAAGAGGCTAATGACCATAGGAGTTGACTTGCCTGGAATTGCTAATCAATCAATCTGTTAATATCAAACTGAAGTATCCCAAGTTGCTTTCATATTCATTTTTCACAATCTTTTAGACAGAAATTCTATTCCTATTTCTATCTATTCTCGTGCATCTCCGCCTCATTGACTATGCCTTGCCCTAACACCCCCAAATGCCCAGTCTACTTCACTCATTTTCTAACTAAAAAATTAAGAAATTAATACTGAACGAAAAATAGAATACCTTCACTCACTTCAATTTTTGTGAAGTTTAATATATGCCAATACAATAAAGCACACTTTCCCACAAAAATCTCTGAGAATTTTAGCAACATATTCTTATTTCACTTTAACGTTGTCTTGGTTCATGACATTTCTTGATTAAGGTCATCTCTTGTACACTTAATACAATCAAATCTTGATGCAATTAAGATAAATTTCAAACTTACCACAAATTACTATAAATATCATGTATGTGAAGGAAAATTTGCTAGGTTATAATTTTTAAATAGAAACTGTTAACATTACGTAATTGAATAATAAATAAGCAATAACTTACCAGGAATAATATATAATTTTAATATTATTCTTCAATGATGAATTCTTCTACTAAATGCTCTAGGACAACATGTAGACAGTTAACACTTCTCATGCTCTCGTGTAATTTTTTTGTATAAAATCAACAATGTATTTTGCAATAACATTTTGAATTGCTCCTTTACTATGTTTGATTATTTGTCACTCAAAAGTATTCATGCGAAATTTGGGAGCAATCATACAAAACTTTTTGGCTGTTTTTTTATAATATGTGCTTTTGTTAACAACTTCCCTTTATATAATAGATGATCTGAAACATGCAAATTCAGTATACCTTCTATTCTTTTCATGTAAGTTAGTGATTATATTGTCTATTAAAGTGGGAAAGGGTGATTTTTGTGGAGTTTTTACTGCAAATCATAGTCCAAATGAGGTCATGAAATCTTTAAAAGTACAAGTGTAAAAAATCACTCTTTATCATATTGATATTAAAATTTCTTTAGATTACTAATAAACATTTTAAGTAAATAAGTTAGTAACTTTTCAAAATTCTTAAAAAAGGTTTTCAAATTTTCTTTTGGGAGCCTATATACACCAATTGCAATTTGTTGGGAATCAAAACTGCTTTCTGCTCTTGTGTTCAGTCTTTTGGAAGATTGCTTTGAATTTTGGACGGTATTTTGGAAGATTGCATAATTTTGAAATATTTTTTTGTATTTACACTTGATTCCTGAACAGTAAAATTCCCATGAAATATTTTCTTGTATTTACTAACTCATTTGTTAGAATATTACATCAGAAGTTTTAGATTTGAATTGGGTCTAACATCACTTCATTCTATTTAGTTTTCTTTTCAGTTCCCTTTGCTATGTATGAGCTTTAACGTGTCATAAACCAACATAATAGAGGCTGAGTAAAGATTTTGTTTTTTAATTACATGGTATCAACCAAAAATTGAAAATATACAAACTGAAACTTACGATTCTTAACATTGCAACTTAATATATGGTGTAATTAATATATTAAGGATCTTCAAGTTAATAGTGATTTCCAAAACTTGTTTGAGGTTGTTTGTATGGAGGTGTTTTATTAAAATGTTATCTTCTGGAGTTTATAAAGAGTGGATGGATATTGAGGGTAATGTGACAACACATCTGAGTTCTGTATGATTTTTCTAAGAACATCCAATTATAGATTCCTGATGCTGCTCCATTTGATAAAGCGGCACTATTGGGATGCGGAGTACCAACTGGTTATGGAGCTGCCCTTAATACCGCTAAGGTAGAGAAAGGCTCAACATGTGCCATATGGGGTCTTGGTGCAGTGGGTTTGGCTGTGGCAATGGGTTGTAGAGCAGCGGGAGCCAAGCGTATTATTGGAATTGATTTGAATGCTGATAAATTTGAAACTGGTGAGTGTTTGTAGTCTAGAAAATTCTTCTGTTGCAAAATTTCTCTATAACTCTTTTGCATTAAGTCCTTTAAAAAAAATCATTCAAATAAAGAAAAGAAGAGAAAATTTCTTACAACACCTTTTTTCTAAAAATAATAAAAAAGCAATTACCCTGTGCGATAGAGCTTTTAAAAACAAACTTTTTTCAATTTCTCCAAAATGTGTTCCAATATACGCAATTTATGGTATTATAATTTATTTGTTATAAATACAATTATTATTACATGTAATACTATTATTTATACAATCTTCAATGTTAATATTGCCTCAGAAATGCACAATTGTCAAAAATCTTAAAATTCTAAATTAAAAAAAAAGTTGTTTGTGCATATATGTAAGAGTATCAGTGTTCCAGCATAACTCTTCAACATGTAAACAACTTCATTTCAGCAAAACTTGGTGTACATGACTGACACGGGGAAAATAGTTCTTTGGTATTAAAACACACTTGGAGGAGGGAAGGGAGTGTAATTAACAAACAAAACTATGCAACCCACAACTCACATAGGAATGTAATGCGCTCTGAGCTGGCACAGTGCGTGAGATGGGCAGCACTATGTACTAAAGATTATGATAAATAAACTCTTGCAATAAAATTGCAAAGTGTCTAATTGATTAGAAAATGAGCTTGTTGATTGAAACGTTAAAACTTATTACCAGAATCCCTCTGAAAGTTTTGCACTTTGAATTTGTGTTCTTAGTTTTTCATCTGACAGTAAAGTCTTGCATGTTACCTCTTATTCTTTAACAGAATTTACTTGAAATTCGCTTTGTTTAATTCATATGATTGAGTTGTGAACTGTGAATTAGTAGATTGTGTGTTGTTCCACTTCGCAGGTAACATGGGAGGTGGAAGCAAGTTTGCAAGTTTTTGCTGAGAAAATATTTATTATCCCTTTTCTGTGGTTGGATGTAGAATGTGTACTTAACTGTATTTTTTTCTATTTTTCATTATTTTTTTTTAATATACGCAAATTCCCACTCTCCGGGCATCAACCCGAGAGTCCACGTGGCCTCGCCGCGCATCATATAAATCTTGGCAACCTTGTTTATTAATTTTCACGCTGAGTTTTACTTGAGGAAGTGCCATTCATTTGAGATTCTTTACTGGACTATTATAAAACATCGGTCACGATCGACCGGATGCCGAGAATACGTTATGTCCACGAATATTCCTATTTTGTATTATAGACACTTGTGATATTGTTATCACCTTCGCATCATATTGTTACGTCATAATTTATGAGTTTTATGTCATGGAAAGGCAATGTAAAAACATCTTTTGCGATTAGACTTACTCGGTGAACATAGGACAACTGTATTTTTCGAATGAGATATTTAGGAAAAAACTCGTCATATGTTTTTCTGTAAAAACAACATATGAAGTAAGGGTTCTTAAAGGTGGATTTCGTATTATTTTAATCAGGCACATGTGTGTTAGACATGCAATCCTAAGGAAAATATTCTCTTCCTAAACTTCACTTAATATCCATGGTATGAAATCCATGTTAGTGGTCTGCATCACATTGAGTATTTTTCGCAAGGTGAAACTTTTATCAGACTTTGAAAGTACATGGTAGCAGAGACTGTTCAATGTCTGCATGTTCATTTCTACCACACAAATCAACAAAATGTTTCCTGTTTGTCATATGTCCTGGTGTAGATTTTGTCTCATTACGTTGAGTAGGCTTCTAATGCTGCAGAATATTTACTTCCCTTCTCCACACTAGGTGAACGTATCACAACCACTAAAAGCACAAAGGAAAAGGATGTCTTATTTAAATTATTTCAATAAGTGGGACTTATACCCCTTTTCTAGAAATATATTACTTATGCTTGTGCCGTTAGGGTGATCAGGATGATCTTTACAGTAATAGTTGATCAGAAATTTGTTTTGTTTATTACTTACTGGTCTTAAAACAAACTAGATCTATAAAAGTTTTAGAGAGAGAGACAGACAGACGAGAGAAGTAGGGAATTTTAATCCATTGATAATTTGAAGGGAATTGATTTATCATAATCCTTTGTTAAATCCTGTTTATCTGTCCCTATTCCTACTCGGTGAGCATTACATGCATTGTAGGTTGCGTCATTTAATTTGTAAATACTCTCCCACCTTTAGGGTTATTACCCCATTGTGGTACTCCTACATTAGTTACCCTAAACTTTTTGTGAGGCCCCTTTGTGGGTATTTCTTCCAATGTATAGTAAATTACTCCCATTAATGTGCTGTGCAATTAGAATCTATGTTTTGTGGAATAGTCAAACAAATTCCAGACGTTTGCAATTTTTGAAAACTGAGAGTTAACTGTGCATGCCAGACCGATGCCATTGTAATAAGTGTATTTTACTTGTCTTGCCAAACAATGTAAACAAAAAAAATTAGAGCCAATTTGAGAAAATTTTGAAAATGCCTGAGGGGATTTATTTAAAATACACCCAAAATTTAAAGGTGTCTTTGAAAATCACAGCTTGGAATGGGGTCACATTGATGAGGAAACATTTATTCCAGAAAAAATCCTATGAATAGTAGGCGCAAGTGATGATCACAGATGAACATTCTGTATAAAACCACTTTTTTGGCACCAAGATATCCTAAAAACGTATATTTTTGTTGACATCTCAAAATCTATTTTCCACAGCATTACAATACGTTCTCTGCACTACGTATACGAAAAAGTAAAACCATATTTTCTTATTGTATCCCTTAAGGGGTGTATCTCCCTTTTAGAGAAGAAATCCTCTACGCTCTGTAATGTATTAATGGACATTGTACTCTCCAGAACCTGTGTTCAATAAGTTAAATTTGTTTCTACCATTGTAACAGTCCTAGAATTTTCAATAGCTCATTTTACTAATGAATTATCCCTTTGCAATGTTATCCTTTTATGAACAAGTCATCATCACAATCAAGTAGATATAATACACATAATTTGAATTGTATTGTTGTCAAGAGTGTGTCAAACTTTTTGTTTAGCAAAAATTTTTGGCTGTACGGAATTTGTAAATCCAAAGGATTTGAACAAGCCAATACAAGAAGCTCTTGTGGAGATGACTGATGGAGGTTTGGATTACACATTTGAATGTGTGGGGAATGTGAATACTATGCGTGCTGCTCTGGAATCATGCCATAAAGGATGGGGCGTGTCTGTTATTGTTGGAGTTGCTGGAGCTGGTCAGGAAATAAGTACACGTCCATTCCAACTGGTCACTGGAAGAACGTGGAAAGGAACAGCATTTGGAGGTAATTTAGGACATTTTTTTTGTTTCTTGAAAATTTTAATTAGAGATAATCAGTTGCATAGGATTGGCAATGGGAGTACTATGCATTGCAGTTTTAAATGTAGATGCAAATTAACACAACTTTCCAGAAAATTTTACTAAAGCAATAGTCATGTACTAAGAATATTGCAATTAAATAGGGATAGGGGTTGTATTTTTTTTCTTAAAGTTACAAATGCTATTTAAAATAATTTAGTTATGATAATGATCATAGTCACAGTATGGCAGGTAAGGGTACTCCATCCCTCTCTAGAAATTGGATAAGTACAAAAAATTAAGTAAACATTCATATATATAGCTTTTAAAGTTATAAATTATGGAAATGTCACCAGGTTGGAAGAGCAGAGACAGTGTGCCTAAACTGGCTGAGGAATACTTGAATAAAAAGTTGTTATTAGACGAGTTTGTCACCCACAAAAAACCTTTTGCTGAAATTAATGAAGCATTTGAACTTCTCCGGGCTGGTAAATGGTAAGAACATGCAAAAAAAAAAGGTACTTAAATGAAATAATTATTTTCCAATTGATAGTTTCATTATGTTGTTTTTCTATTTCAGTCTTCGTGCTGTTATTACATATTAGAATGATGGCACAAACTGTGCAAATTCACAGCTCATCTTGAAAATATTTTGCTATTGTGTATTATACTCATTAACACAATGCCATTGGTATTTTGAGCAAGTTTGTATTCTAAAAAATATTGATAATAAACTTGGGTTAATATTTACTTTGCAATTCATGTAGCATTTTTTTCATTGCGAATATTTTTTAAAGCTTTTACATACTTATAGCAAGATGCACACACGCTTACTTCCAAAATAGAAGTTATCTTAGGTATACATTTTATTTTTATTTTCTTCCTATTTATACAAGCATTTGAGGTTTCAACGATTGAATCAAGTATAACAACACATCTCTTCTATCTATTGTATTGCCCTGTGAATTAATTCTTGGAAGCGGCACACCAAATTTGAAAATGCAATAATGCTTTCAAATTTCCCACCGTTGCTCTCTTGGATCTCCTTTGAGATAATCCAAATATTCCACTTACACTAGCATGAGATAAGAAGACCCAATCTCAGCCAAATATGCTTTCTAGAACAAGTTATAGAAAAGGGAAAAACCATTATAGGGTAAAAAATCAATGGACATCAAGTATCCAACAAAAGGTTCATGAACAACATAGTTCTCTTCAGAACTTATGTAACATGTAACATGTCAGTCGCTGTTCAGTCGTCGTGGTTGACGGACGTGTTTTTCGTGGTGCTCCTGGGGATTAGTTTTA